ACCAGCGGTGCAGCAGCATGGACATCAATCAGTGGACAGCGCGGTAAAGTACGGTACCATTTACCGGTACACATTACAGTACCATTACATTAAGCAGTGCCTTCAGGGGGACAGCAGTTGGTGAAGTATGGTACTGGAGTGCCCCCTGTCACTGCGGTGGCCGGAGGGAGTCCCCTGTCATCCCCTTAATACAGTATGTCCCTGCAGGCTGATACCATCTCTCCTGCTCTTCAAGTTCCCCCTCACATGCTACCACCAAACTAGGACTTATTTTCGGGGTAGGTCTTATTTTCGGGGTAGGTCTTATTTTCGGGGTAGGTCTTATTTTCGGGGAAACAGGGTAGTATTGCCACTTGTGATACAGCTAGCGGGCACTAGAGGGAGCACAGTGACCACAAATGTCCTCCATTATGAGTTCCATTCATTCCGCTTCTACAGTTCAATAGGGATGATCAGAGTGACTTTAGTGGAAACTCTCAATGTCACCCATTAAGCTACTTAGGCAACATTTGCTATGTAAGTGCACTTGGTCTCATGGTGGATGGAATACAAATGTAGTATTTTTATTATTTAGTGGAACTTCTTCAATAAAAGTTTTCTTTCAAGAATGTGCAGTTATTTTAACCACTTTTTCAGTATTCAGCGCTGCGGTACTTTGGCTGACATTTATTCCGTCATGCAACAGTGTACTGAAATACATTTTATATCATTTTTTGGGGACAGATAGAGCTTTCTTTTGGTGGTATTTAATCACCACTGGGGGTTTAATTTTTTACTATATAACAAAAAAAGAACCGAATATTTAAAAAAAAAATGGTTTTCCCTTTATTATTTTAGGAAACATTTATTTTTACCCAATTTTTTGGTAAAATATAAAAGACGGGGTCACGTCGGGTAAATAGGAAATTATGGACACCGGCACTCCAAGGTAGCATAACGTCTTTTTTATTGACGTTTTAATGCAACAATACACTTATTGCAACGTTTCGGGGCCACACAGGCTTGTTCTGCCTGATGAAGGGGATCCTGTGTGACCCCGAAACATTGCAATAAGTGTATTGTTGCATGAAACGTCAATAAAAAAGACGTTATGCTACCTTGGAGTGCCGGTGTCCATAATTTCCTATATACTATTCAGACGGTGGCCATCCGTCAACTACTGATGCACCCAACCTATTACTACGGATTAGCGGTAAGGAGTGCAATGGGTACATGGACTGTAACATCGGGTAAATAGACACCAAACATGTCAAGCCTTAAAATTGTGCGTGACCGCGAAATAAAAAAAAAAACACCATACCCAAAATTGACCATGGGCGACGCTTTAAAAGATTTTACCACTCATCAGTTTAGTGTTATTAGTGATTGATAGCCCGATAATTATTGCTCTCATTGCAACGTTCGCGGCGTGTTTGCGCATCTATGTGGGGGTGGGGGACTTTAACAAATATTTGTGGATTTTTTTTTGTTTTGTATGTGTACATTTTTATTTATTTTGTGAGCATTTTTTTAAAACTTTTTTTACACTTAACTTTATTGTTATCACATAGGGTGCTAAGAAGTCCCCTATATGATAACAAATTACAGTTACAGGTCCCCTTTATGGAGACATCAGAGGTCTCTAAGACCCCTAATATCACCTATGGACCCCCAGAGAAGCTGATGAAGCACAGATCTGCTTCATCAACTTCTCTCTGGACTCTGTACCGGAGAGTGACAGAGTAATGAGGAAGTGATGTAATATACATCACTTCCTGCATTCAGAGACCGGGAGGAGAGCGGATGGAGATCGGGTACTGATCTCCCTCGGTTCCCGGTGCACAGAGCCACATCGCCCGGGATGGATGGACACCCGGGATCGCGGGGACGGCAGCGGTGGGGACAACGACGAGAGGTAAGGAGGGGGGAGCGCACCCCCACTTGCATCATACAAGCGATCGGGCGTCTTTACAGACGCCGGACCGCTTGTAAAATCCATGTGGATTTCCGCTCGAGCGTGTCAGGGGGCTCGCGCGAGCGGAGGCGGACACAAAGGACGTCTAAAGACGCCCACCCGCATCCAGGAGACTCCCGTCCGGCCGTCTTTCAACGTTCGGCGGACTGGAGGTGGTTAATGTGTATATTGCCATGATGACATTGATGTGATGACATCAGCTTTGCTCTGAGGGGATAGGACACAACACCCTTTACTCTCGGTATGTCCTAAGGCTTTTGGGTTTAAAAACACTGTGCATTATTCAGTATGGTAGACTAAGGCCTCTTTCCCGTGGGCTCATTGTAGCAGTATGGATCGGATGTCACCGCTGTCACTTCTGTGTCTCTGCTGCCTATAGGGGACATGTAGGGGGGTCTGATGCCTATAGGGGGGATGGATGGGATAGTATTATTCTCCATTGCTGTATAATGTATTGCTGGGATTTGAAGTCCTCTATAGCCAGTGCCATGCTGCATTGCTATACAATGTATTGTTGGAATTAGTAGTCCCTCTGCAGCTTGAAGTCAGTGGCAGAATTGTCAGCAATTATCCTTACAACCAGAGGGACAGGGTGGATGGGGGGGAGATCCGGGGGGTATAATCCAGGGGCACAAAATGTTGTGCTACCCTGTGCACCACTGCCGATCAGACCTCCTTTGATAAAGGGGCCTAAAAGGTCTCAGTGAGTGGCAGTACAGACCTCCGATTAGTGGGAACAATGGCACACCCCCAGTGCAATACATGGCGTCTGTGCGACCAGTGGGCAGAACTCAGACCTTGTTATATTGAAGGAGGTGGGGTTGTGTGCCTATAACCGGGCGTTGTTACTAGTGTAACGGTGTTTAACTTGCTTTTAAATACTGAGAACAGAAGCAGCTGGTTGTAATCTGGAGAAGCATTGTAACAGTGCTCGATTTTTCATCCCAGAAGCATCCCATGTGCAGGCCAGTCCCATTCCTTTTAGGGATGTACAGCAGCGCTGCATGTACAGCTATTTCACTTTCCTGCAACCTTGTTTGCTTCTCCTCTCTGTAAAGTAGGGTATACACGGGTAGATTTTGGCACAAACGTTCGTACAAAAAATACGGACAGTGCGTTCGATAGAGGCATCAGAAAAATGTTTGATTGTAGTTCAAAATTTTATTTAATTTTTGCTTTCATTTAACATTCTATTTTGGAATGAACGTAGTTTCTGAACAAAAACCACATTGACTGTTAGAAATTCGTTCAATTAGGAAAAAATTTCCAACATGCTCCTTCAAAACGTTTTTGGAACATTTTTGTTTTCGTCTGTCGATTGCACAATTCTAATTCATAGATATTCAAGCGAACGTTCCAAAAACCACTTCTTTCTTCCGAAATTCTAACCGCGTATACCCTACTTCAGCAAATGGTAACTTGAAATGAACAAGTAAACACCAAAGGCACAATACCTGATAATGTAATCTATTAGATCCTATTTTTTATAACACTGTACTATTACATTTGCAGGTTACTTACAACTATTCGTAACAGTCTCTGGCCCAGGAGAGCTTATAGCATCCACGTCATACTCATACAGTCATGTTGTCTGATATGTTTTTGGGTCAAAAATAAAGAGAATCCAAAGCAAACCAAGGCAAACATGGGGGGAACATTTAACCGCTAGGCCACAGTGCAGATTTTTACTAGTTTTAACAGTTTCATTTTGAACAGCTAGATGTACTCCAGGTACACAGGCGGCTCTAGACTTTGTGAGGTCTTAGGCGAAACTCACACATGAGGCCCCCATTTACACCCATATTGAAAATGATAATTAAAAATGAACTGTGATTATGAGTGATGATGGAGCGAGATGGATGTCCAGCGGAGGGGTCCAGGGCCGGTGCAAGGATTTTTGCCTACAAAGGCCCCCCCCCCCCCTGCCAGGAAAGAGAGTGAGGAGAGATAGCCAGGGGAGAGATAGAGGACAGACAGCCAGTGGAGAGGGCAAGGAAAGACAGCCAGGGGAGAGAGCAAGGAAAGAGAGCCAGGGGAGAGAGCGAGGAAAGACAGCCAGGAGAGTGAGCCAGGGGAGAGATAGAGGAGAGACAGCCAGGGGAGAGAGCGAGGAGAGACAGCCAGGAGAGAGAGCGAGGAGAGACAGCAAGGGGAGGTTTAGAGAGACAGCCAGGAGAGAGAGCGAGGAGAGACAGCCAGGAGAGAGAGCGAGGAGAGACAGCCAGGAGAAAGAGCGAGGAGAGACAGCAAGGGGAGAGAGCAAGGAGAGATAACCAGGAGAGAGAGCGAGGAGAGACAGCAAGGGGAGAGAGCGAGGAGAGATAACCAGGGGAGAGAGCAAGGAGAGAGAGGATGGAGAGATAGCTGGGGAGAGAAAGCGAGGAGAGATAGCCATGGGAGAGAGAGCAAGGAGAGATAGCCACGGGAGAGAGAGCAAGGAGAGATAGCCAGGGGAGAGAGAACAAGCAGAGATAGCCAGGGGAGAGAAAGTGAGGAGAGATAGCAAGAAGAAATAGCCAGGGGAGAGAGAGCAAGAAGAGATAGCCAGGGGAGAGAAAGTGAGGAGAGATAGCCAGGGGAGAGAAAGTGAGGAGAGATAGCAAGGGGAGAGAAAGTGAGGAGAGATAGCAAGAAGAGATAGCCAGAGGAGAGAGCGAGCATAGATAGCCAGGGGAGAGAGCGAGCATAGATAGCCAGGGGAGAGAGAGCGAGGAGAGACAGCCAGGGGAGGGAGAGCGAGGAGAGACAGCCAGGGGAGGGAGAGCGAGGAGAGACAGCCAGGGGAGGGAGAGCGAGGAGAGACAGCCAAGGCCCAGTAGTACGTGATAGGATTTTCTGCTGCATGTAAGATAAAGGATTTTCTCAGTCTCCTCTTCCCCAGTCATTGCTTACATTGTAACTTTGTGGCAGCTCATAAGGTGCCATTGATAACTGTCACTGATTTAGAGGTGCCTCTGGTTTTCATATAAGGAACATTAAAAATGGGATGTCCTAGAGAAAAGACCCACATCACAATAATTATTCATTTATTTATTGCCAGTCCACTTTAATTGCGAGGAATTGCACACATCTCATGCTTCAGTGGAGGGGTTGTGAAGCCAACATCCCCTGTGAGGTCCAGTTTCGCTCCAGGTGGAGCCTGAAAGGTGAAGTTTTGCAGCAGTGTTGTAAAGAAGAGGAACAGTTCCATTTTAGCCAACGTCTCTCCAGCACAACTTCTCTTACCTTGGAAAGAAAGTATAAAAGCATTATACAAATAATGACTAAGGAAGGACATTGATTTCTGCAACTGCATATCAGACATATTTCCAGCTCTGTGTTTCTTTAGGTCTAGTTGGGGACTTGTGTTGTAGTTTGCTTTGCAACCCCTGCATGTGCCATCTGTTTACCATTTGCAATATGAGTGCATTATGGCGGTTTACATTGGAGCCCTAATGGGGTTCTGTGCTCCCCCAGTCAGTATCTGCAAAGCTTTCTCTGTCTCAACAAATCTTTATGGTTGCACAGTCTCCAACACTTTGTACAAATCAATGTATAATATATATAACTGGTGGAACAATATGTTTTATTTCATGCTGGCCACAGACAAGCAGATGTGAGAGTGAGGTGTTGGTACGTAAGATGAATACCCAATACAATAGAATTTGGCCTACCTGTGGCTGCAGCACAGCACATGCATAAAAAAGGGATCACCCAAAACGTTTAGCATGACAATTGAGAATTATGTCAGAGAGGCCTCAGTTGTGGAGTATCCAAGATCCATGCCCTCCAGACATGGTAAAATATCTGTTTTGGGTTGACTGACCCTTTCAATTTTGGGCCTGTAAGTTGTCCATCTTTCCTTTTTTAGAATGCTGTGCAGTATGAAATTTACTAACAATTTATAATCTTTGCATTAGTGACCTCTGCTGACTTGGTCTGTCACTGTTTTGGTCACAGGCATAGAAGGACCGAGACATAGGCATTCGCCTAATGAGACGATGGATGGTGTCCTGGGGTATCTCCTGCCAGATCTGGACCAGTGCATCACTGAGTTCCTGAACAACCTGGGGGCATCGGATGGACCGAGACACATTTGCCACAATTCAGAGTTTCCCCCATTTGGTTGACTTACCTACAGAAAATGGTATGAAAGCTTCCTTATTAACAAAGTTCCCATCAGAGTCCAGAAAATGCTGAGGGTAAAATTCTTCTGGCTTCTCAAAGTGCTCTTTGTCTCGTAAGACAGAATAGAGTAATGGGATGACTTGAGTTCCCTGCAGAGAATAGATGAGAGAGACCTTGAGAAGGATTATAAGTAACAGTTGTTATTAGTTGATGAATCTGATGAAGATGCACTAAAAATTAAGCACTAAAGGCATTCAGAAAGCACGGGCTACCTTCTCAGTACTTCATTCTTTTTATGCAGACCTTGCTTTTGTGCTCCACTTCACAAACTCCCTTTTGTTGGTAATCTGGTAACCTGGGAACCCTTTTTACTCACCTGTTGGTATCACATGAGATTTCCAATAAACATGTGAGAATGTCAGTTAACTCTAGATTGCAGAGAACTGCCCTTACGAGGCTGAGCTGTGGCTCCAGCACATCACATGCATAGAAGAGGAATCACCAAAACATTTAGGAGGGCAATTGGGAATTATGTCAGGAAGATCTCCATATTGGAGCAAAGATTATTATCGTAACACCAAGCTCACTCTTTATTAGAGAAAACTGAAACTTTTCCACCTGCGTAAGCTCCCTGAATCAAAATTCGTACGAATTTTCCAAAATCCGAACATTCGGACACATCTGAATTTCCGAATCCCAATGCATCCGAATGTGTCAGAATCTGAATTTCCCTTTACGAATTTCAGATCCCGTACGAATTTCTTTCAAAAAAGAATTGAATCGGACATGTGACTTTTCTGGCCAATCAGATGTGTTTTTCGGTTTAATCCATCTGAATCGGTCTGAATATAAATTGTCATTTTGCATCCAGGAGCTACTGAATGCTATTCGGGTTTGGGAGCCTCAGGTTTAGTTTTATGTATATATGGGTCACAATATTGCTGCTATGGATATCCGTTCGTATTATAGAATACTACTTATATATATACATAATACTAAAGCTGATGCCTCGACCCGAATGGAGTCCAAATTTCTGAATAGCATTCAAGAGCTCCCAAATGCCATCTGGAAGCCTCAGCTTTAATATGGCACCCAAACCCATATTGCTTTCTGGAGCTCCCGAATGGTATTCGGAAATTCGGACTCCCAAATGCCATTTGGGTCTAGGAGCTTCAGTTTTAGTATTAACCCAATCAGATGTGTTTTTCGGTTTAATGCATCAGAATAATTTTGAACACGAATTTTCATTACGGCAACATGGGAGCCATATACAGTATATACATATAATACTAAATCTGAGGCTCCTAGACCCGAATAGCATTCGGGATCCGAACTTCCGAATTGCATTCGGGTCTGGGAGCCTCAGGTTTAGTAATATATGTATATGACCCGTAATGCTTTCTGGAGCTCCTGAATGCAATTCAGAAATTCGGATCCCGAATACCATTCGGGTCTAGGAGATTCAGCTTTAGTATTAATATCTGTAGATGGTTTTCTGTGGTATTCGCAACACATATTCGTAAACTCATCAGAAACTAACGAAAATTCGGATTTCGTCCGAATCCGAAATCCGAACCGAATTGAATTTCGGATACGAATCCCAAAATAACGAAATGTCCGAACCAAGTTTTTCCGCAGCTTACATGTTTAGTTGGAAATAAACACTTCTAGAATTTGCGAGCCAAATAAACAAGTCATGGAAGGCCTTGCCATTCTGGTAACCTTCCATGGAAATGAATATAAATCCTGATATATAAGGAAACTGGGTCATCCAGGTCAGATAAAAGGTCATTCTTAAAGTGACCACATAAGTCTTAGCAGAGCACCACTACTAATGCCTGGTTGTTCCAGTGTAATTCAGAGGCCAGAGTGTGGAGACATGCAGCATACAGCACAGCCATCAGGAATCACTTCTGGAGCCAAATAGTCTCAGAGGCTGAGGAGGCAGCACAAGCAGGTTCATCATAAACCCTTCTGAAATTTTCTAGAACCAGGCGATAATCATATAGCTGCAGGTGATCCTTCCTGAGAAGTGGAGAGGTCCAGGCCAGTGCTTTTCCAGAAAGCAGGGAGATTATGTTGGGAACTTTGGTTCTGCTGATGGAGAGCTATTCAAACTGGATTTGGCACTGATTCAAGAAACCTCAGCATTGCTGGGAGTCCCTAGAGTACAGAATAAGAGATGGCACCAGTAGTGATGAGGTAGTTGTCGGTGCAGTTAACAGGTTTGCGACAGGCACAGAGGTGTGTCGCAGAAGCTCAACAGAAGGTGAATTGCAGGAGGGTGTCAAAGATTTGATCTAACTTAGCTTCGGTATTCTCAACCAGAAGCCCATGACATGAACAAACTGTCTTGGATGTAGTGGACTGCCCATTGGCCAGGCTAGTGTAGACCCTAAAGGGGGCTGAGTCACAGGGTCCAATGAATAGCATGGTGTTCACCAAAGCAATCAGAAAGGGATGATGGACTTTGCTGCTGTTGGCCCCCAGGTTGTGGCCCCTGGTTACACTTCAGCAGGCAGAAACCAACTGTGGTACAAAACCTGCAAGCAAGGTCCTGGTCAAACAGGCAAAAAGTTAGGGCAAGCAGATGACAAGAATCATTGAGAAACAGGCAAAAGTTTCCACTATGCACAACAGCCTGTAATCTACACCAAGCACAGGGATGCCATTTAAAAAACTCCATGTGGAGCCTGACAGGACAACTAAACAAAAGTATGTTTTTGTGCTTTTACCCAGGATCTGCATATGCCTGCCTCATGTACACACAGTGTATATTGCTAGCATATGTTTTTTTTAAATGCCTCGGAAAAGTGGAAATAGGCTTTAGGGTACTTTAATGTATTTTTAAGATTTAACTCCTGAGTTTGGAGCCACTTTAATTTTGTCTTCCATTTTTACTCCCATACTTTTTTGCTGAAGTGGTGTAATGTTGCTGAAATCTCCTGATTTTTGCTGAAATTTCGGGGGACTGAATATTCTCCCTCCACTCATCCTTAATAAAGATTTGGCAGACAAGGAACAAGTAATAATGTGACAAGTCAAGGGGATAAGCTCAGCTCCCATTGATGCAATAGGAGCTGAACTGCTTAGACTTGAATCATTTTATTTCTTCTGGTGTGGTTTGCTCACAGTGCCTGCATCTCCAGAGATAAGTAAGGGCTGAGCTGAAATTATGGAGATTTCCCTCACTTAATTTTGAGACAGGCAGTGATAGGAAAGCTCTCCAGTGGGGACGGACTGCTGCAAAACACTTTTAAAAAAAAAAAAAGAAAAGGAGGATGGTGGGAACCGCTGTCAGAAATATTACTGTCTCTCTTCCTGTCCTGGTGCCTACCACTGCTTTTATTTACTGTCCATCTTAGCAGGGACAGGAAGTAAATGGAACTCTCCCAAAAAGAGTCAAGAAGAGCAGTACAAATTCGATAGATGTTTTATCTTCCAAAGTTTATTCAAAATAAAAAACGTTTTGGTTGGAGTTAGGCAATAAACTTGACAACACACTGTTCACTTTCCACTGATAGAACTTAAGTCTGAGTCACGTTTAGGGATGCACCGATATTAAGTACCATACTCGGCACAAGTACATGTACAGATACTTTTCCAGCTCCAAGACCAGACTAGAGAAAAATTAAAAAGTTAGGAGGCCGCTGTCATGTGTAAGGAGCACACGGAGCTCCCGGGATTTGTACATCTCTGTTTTGATGTATGATTTTGTTTTTATAAATATAAATAAAGGAATGCACAGAAACCAGTTTTGCAAGTACTGATACATTTTTGTTTATTGTCATGTGACAGTTTTTCTAAAACAATACAGACTAATGATTTCAGGACAGTGGTGGAGCGCCAGAGCCAGGTCCCAGCTGCAACCGCTGCAACCCTGGGAGTTCTCATGAAAATGCCAAGTATCTGCACTGGTATCTGAAAAGTATCTGTGCATCCCTAGTCACATTAATCCGGGCTATGCCTTTGTTTTTTCCCCTCCATGAGTAACACTTGAATTCTGTAAATTTTAAGTTGTTTAAGAGTTGGTAACAATTGTCTTTCATATTTTATATTTTGGTAATATTTGAAGGATAAAATGTATTACTTACTTTGGGTATAAAGAATCCTTTGAGAGTCACGTCTTGGGTGGTGACATGTGAAACACTTGTTGGTGCAATATTGGCAAACCTTTGGATTTCATGGATAACGGCATCTGTATATGGCATGTCTTTTCGGTGTATCAGACGAGGCTCCCCAGAACTGATAACTTTTTCAATTTCCTGCTGAACATTTTCTGGTATTGAAGGAAAGGCATACTGGTTTACTGAAGGGGTTTTCTATTTCTATCCTCAAGCTTCTCATTAGTTAACTGGAATGGATTCCCCTTTCTTCTGTAGTTGACTTGAACTGCTACTCAGTGGCGTAACTATAGCCATAACAGCCCAGGCAGATGCTATGGGGCCTGGGAGTGGAAGGGGGCCCCCATTAGGTTGTTGAGGCAAATTAAACATAGAAAATGTAAAGATAATACAGTACTGTTAAGGGTTGGAGTGGCTGCAGTTGACAACAACTCTAATCCCCTGTAAAGTCTACAGTGGATAGTGAACTTTGCTTGTACAAGAGGAGTCTTTGGGATCTTGGCATTGTTACTCATAGCTTAGAAAGGTCGTCAGAGGGGCCCTGCATCACATTTTTGCTATGGGGCCCTGTGATATGTAGTTACAGCCCTACTGCTACCTGTTCATACAAAATATGGAAGCTGTCCCTCTTGACTTGTGTTTAAAAGTATTAGCTCTAAAACTGTTGTCAAAGAAAACAAATACAAGTCCATTGAGTTTCACCTATAGAGTAATGTTCCATATTCATGCCTGATGGACAAATAACCTTTAACCCAGTCATACGCTTTAAGCAGTTATTAGGGAGTTGTCATGCAACTGGAGAGATTGGGGTGAATGGAAAATATCATAGTGATGATCAAAGTAAAGATGTACACAAGATAAATCACTTACTTTGAACTTCTGGGTATTTCATCATCAGCAGGAGGCCCCATCGGAGAGTGGTGGAGGTTGATTCCATTCCGGCCGCAAACAAGTCCGTCACCAGAACTGTTAGGTTTTTGTCATGAAAATATAACTCTGGATTTGGCTTTTCCTGAAAGTCATACAATTCAGAGTATATCAGATTTACTTAAACTCTTACCTGCAGGGCTGAATTACCATCACTAGAGCCGACTGCAGGCTCACAATCTTTGGACTTTATAGTACCCCCGTCCAGTGGCGTCACAAGGGGGGTGCGGGGGGTGCGGCCCGCACCCGGGTGACACCATTGGACGGGTGACACCAAAATGACTTACAGTCATTTTGGTGTCACCCCCCTCTTGAAAAGTCGGGAGCTCGGTCATGGACCGAATGCCCGACAGTATCAGGAGAGAGGAGAGGACCCGGCGGCATACCTTAGCCCGCCGGGTGACTGTCCCCTCCTCTCTCTGCCGGCGTCCATCACCAAGATGGCCGCCGGCAGGTGTCGGAAGACTGACGCGCGTGCGCGATGACATCATCGTGCCCCCGTCCCTTCTCCACTGCCCAGTGTTAGTATCATGGGAGTGGTTAAGAACTTGCTACACAACTCAATACTGGGCTGGGCTACCAGGCTGGGATTTCTGCTATATTGAGTGCCATGGGGGGAAAAAAACAGGTAGCTAGTTCTGAAAGGGTGTGTAAATTAAATCATCTTCCTGTTTTGTCAGAACTTAAGGGGGTTGTTGGTAAGCCTACATTAGAGGTAATTGACAACGTCCCACTAGTGGCCATGGTTGGTGATTTGGGAGAGGAAATTCCCTCCGTGCTAGACTTAATGGATATCCATGTAGGCTGTTGCAGGATTCTAGTTTAGCTAATGCATGGCAAAATGTATAGGTGATAAATGGGCTACCCCAAGAGCCAGAAGTTAGTCTGGTATACCCCCATTTTTCAGCATCCCATGACCTACGGTATCATGTAATAAGATGAGGCAAGCAAGTTGTGGAGCAGCCAGGGGTAACCCGGTCTTACACGAGCATAGTATTGGATCTGGCCCATTCTCGTGTGTTGGGTGGTAATTTAGGGGTACAAAAAGTAAACAAGGAAATTGAACAGCATTTTTCTGGCCCACATACATTGAAGAGTATTGTAAATCCTGCCCTGAGTGTCACATTTATGCACTCCATCCACATTTTAGTAGACCGCTAGAACTTTGGTTTGGAATAAAGCCTCCATTCCTAGGCCCGCATCTTATACACTATATTACCAAAAGTATTGGGACACCCTTCCAAATCAGTACATTCAGATGCTCCGTGACATTTCCTTGCTACTAAATATTCCGCGGTCAACTGTTAGTGAGATTATAACAAAGTGGAAGCAACTGGGAACAACAGTAAAATGACAGAGCGGGGTCAGCACATGCTAAAGTGCACATTGCACAGGAGTCGCCAACTGTCTTCAGAGTCAATGGCTACAGACCTCCAAACTTCATGTGGCCTTCAGATTGGCACAACAACAGTGCGTAGAGAGCTTCATGGAATTTGTTTTCATGGCCGAGCAGCTGCATCCAAGCCTTACATCACCAAGTGCAATGCAAAGCGTGGGATGCCGTGGTGTAAAGCACGCCGCCACTGGACTCTAGAGAAGTGGACACGTGTTCTCTGGAATGACCAATCACCCTTCTCTGTCTGGCAATCCGATGGACATGTCTGGGTTTGGCGGTTGCCAGGAGAACGGTACTTGCCTGACTGCATTGTGCCAAGTTTAAAGTTTGGTGGAGGGGGGATTATGGGGAGAGGTTGTTTTTCAGGGGTTGGGCTTGGCCTCTTAGTTCCAGTGAAGGGAACTCTTAAGGCATCAGCATACCAAGACATTTTGGCCAATTTCATGCTCCCAACTTTGTGGGAAAAGTTTGGGGATGGCCCCTTCCTGTTCCAACATGACTGCGCACCAGTGCACAAAGCAAGGTCCATAAAGACATGGATGAGCAAGTTTGGGGTGGAGGAACCTGACCTCAACCCGATAAAACACCTTTAGGATTAATTAGAGCGGAGACTGCGAGCCTGGCCTTCTCGTCCAACATCAGTACCTGACCTAACAAATGCTCTTCTGGAAGTATGGTCAAACATTCCCATGAACACACTCCTAGACCCCGTGGATGCCTTCCCAGAAGAGTTGAAGCTTTTATAGCGGCAAAGGGCGGGCCAACTCAACATTGAATCCTATAGACTAAGACTGGGCTGCCATTCATGTGCATGTAAGTGCAGGTGTCCCAATACTTTTGGTAATATAGTGTATGTTAGCTGAACCTCATTAACTAGTTTCAGGTTTATACAGGCCTTTTTATATGTGAACTGACTGAGGCCCAAGAGTCTCTTTCTCTGTGATAAAAGCCTGCTGCTAGGTGAAAAGGCTGATTGTTGTATATGTGCTGTCTGTTTGTACTGGGGAACCCATTAGGGGGGACCTTATTAGTTAGGATAGGAATTTACATAGATTTAGTTAGACTCAAAATAACAGAACTATGTTTGTTTACTTCCTCGTGACTAAAAGTACAGAACAAACCTGTTTAGACTGTTACTGGGCGTCCCTGTCTCATGTATGGTTTACTACTGTCACTAACCTTTACAAGTTTAACAAAAATGAGCTGGAAAGAGCAAGCAGGTTCCATAAAAAATGACAAATACCTCCTTTTGTTTGACAAGGAAGACATCAATCAAATTCTTCTGATCATTCACATCCAGCTGATTCCTCTGGTTGGTGAAGGTCTCTCTGATAAAAGTGTGTATTTCTTCTACGTTTGGAATGATTTCTCTGTGACTCCCGGGAAGCCATCGGACCACAGATGGAAAAGCATTGTACAACTAAAAGAAGAGACGTACAACCTGATAATTATAAGTAATCATATTCTGTGTGTAGCAGGGTGCTGTGCAGTAGCAACGGCGAGTGGCAACACTGTTCAGGTGGGTGAAAGGCCAGTTAGTGAGGCAGCGATTTTTAGATTGTCCATTTACTTAATGGTTAGCTGTCAGAAAGTCATTAATAGTAATTAGTAGTCGCATAGTGGTTGGCGTTTCTGCCTTGCAGCACTGGGGGTCCCTGGTTCGAATCCTTGCCAGGTCACTATCTGCAAAGGAGTTTGCATGTGCACCCTGTGCTTGCGTAGGCTTCCTTCCACACTCCAAAGACATGCAGGTAGGTTAATTGGCTCCTGTCTAAATTGGCTCTGTATGTGAGATTGTACCTTAGATTGTAAGCTGCTTCAGGATGGGGACTGATGTGAATGTGCAACTATGTAAAGTGCTGTGTAAATTGTCGGCGCTATATAAATACCTGCAATGAATACAAAAAAAAAATAGTCAACTAGTAATTAGTAGTCAACTAATCACTGCTTACTTTTGACACTAGAAAAACCTACCACTGATTTGTCCTCGGTGCAGGGTTTCCGGCACCATCTTAAGGGAGCCTGTTTTTGACTGGACACAGAGTTCACCCGAGATTCGGCCAGCCATTTTGGGACCCGGAGGGGTTATATATATAGCCCCTGCTGTAGCCATGTGGTGTGCCCTGCAGTGTGAGAAGTATTGAGATATGGACATGGCATACGCTGGTTGGGGACATATAGGCATAATGCAGGGAAAGTTTCTGGTGAGCAGGGATAGTGTAAGAAACGTCCAGAATATCCCTGGAGACTGCTGCAAATTTGGAGAAGGACACTGTTCTAGCTTGCATCTGGTTTGGTGCATTCTGCATCCAGTACTGCCAGCATGGCACCCTATCATGGGGTGACTTTAGGCCAGCAAAGGGAACCTATTTAAGGAACACTCCTCGAGCACATTGCCATTCTGCCTATTTGAATTGCCTTGTGCCAGAAGTGAGAAAGTGCCTTTTTGGACCATACATTTGTTGTTGGACAGTTACTGTATTGATATACTGTTTATTCTTCAGTATAAAAACTAGAATACCCAAACAAACGTGGTCTCACGTAGTCAATTCAAATGCCACAATTAACATAGCCCTGCCCTCATATGGACAGAATAAACAAAAATTCCAGGTTTATGAAGGATATGTGTTTTTTTAATGCAAGTAGTGGAAGTACCTGAATTTAAGCTTGCTTTGGCCTCTTGTAGCACATGTACAACCATACTGGAGGGTCACGAGATGGGCAATACAAAGAGCCAATCATATCATGTACTGACAAGATTTATGCTGACAAGATTTAAGCATAGTGACAGACAAATGAGCTCATCGCAGTGCTGCTTCTCCTTTCACTGTCCGGTCAAAAGGTGGGAAGGGCCAAGGACAACCTGTGCTCAGAAGATGGAAAAATTATGCTGGTCATCAGAATGGGGACATCTAGTGCTAGAAAATAAAAGTACTGTAGGGAAATCAGTGGATTGAAGCTGAATCTGGCAACAAACACTTTTTGTTTTAATCTTTTAATGGGCTGTTTATTTTATCTTTTTATTTGTGGCCTGAGCTCTGCTGTAAAGAAGCATGAATGGAAAGGCAATGGGTGATGAGGAGAGCAGAAAGTAGTGTCAGCTTATCAGTAGTACAACAATTGCAATCAAGGTGGCTCCAGATTAACTGTTGCAGTTGAATGTCATTGTGCAAGGGTTCTATGGACACCAGAATGTCGTCTGATCACCTGGCCAGTCCACGCTAAACAACCACACTTCTCTTGTTCTCTACTCTGGGTGTAATTCTCAGTATATTTTCTTATTCTGTATGTGTGGACTTTGTACAATAGCACTTCTCTTGTTCTGATGCAATATGAACAAGATGATGAAGATGATGATGTTCTGGTCAATAAGTGACCTACCTCCTCCCACCTCCCTGTTGGCCATTGCAGCCAGTTTTGGCGACCACAATGAACACAGAGGGGGGTAGTAAGCCAGCTGATAATTTCTTAATATCTTGATCTGGAGTTTCAGGAATCCCCTGGTGCTTTTAAGAGAAACTGTGTTAGCAGGAAGACATCTGGAGCTTCCTGCTTTATGTATCCTGAGCAACCATACAAGGTAAAGTGAGCCAACAGTATCTTGTTAAAATGTTGCAGTAAAAGTAACCTTACCAAAGCCATTGGGGAACCCATAATGCGGATAAAATCATTGACTATTTTCAAAAGCCTCTGGAGTTTTGGATCATCATAGTCAAAGCGATCAGCAAGCAGTATGGACACAATGATATTGGCCAAAGCAGCATTCATGATCATGGTGTTTTCAAAAGGGTTTCCTGGAATACAAGAAATATATTACTAAGAACTTAGAGTTTAGTAATAAGCATAATTATAAGTGTAGCTCCCCCCTGACCCCCAGCGGCCTGAGGTGGACCCCCAAAGGGCAGAGAGGGCTGACATTTCACTCTTAGGGACAGATCCTTAGCCAGTGAAGGGATGTGTGATCAAGAAAGTTGGGCACCAGTCACTTTAAGGGCCTGTTTGAATGCTTTATTGTAAAACATTAACTGGGAGAGAGGGTATAGGGCTTAGGACATCCATAGAAAAAATAGGACAGACTCCAGACTCACCAATCCCCTTCAGACTTCCCCTGCAGGGTCCACATGTGACTTCTTCCAGGCTTAATGCCAAGTCAACATTTTCATTGCTGAGAACCCCAGCCTCAGGCTAAGCCCAGAGGTGGACTGGAAAATCCCCTGAGTATTTATGCACTCCACCAGCATGCACCACTGGCCACGAAACTTCCAGCAATTGGCTGGTGAGACATAGACACCCAAAATGTTCTCTCATTGGCTGTCACACACCACTGTAGCAGGGTCACACCCCACTCGGGCAGGTACAATCAATAACAGAACATCTGCAATTAACCTGATAAAAACCAATTATGAATCAGCTACACTGATTACAGCTCTAGCAACACTACATTTCTAGCAGCCTCTCAACAGAATGTGGTAGGGGCTACATAAGCAATAATGGTCCCAGAAGTTAATTTAAAAAGGATACAAGGAAAACAAAAGGCTAATTGCTTTTTGTTTTGAAAAGAGAGAATGTCTCCGGAGGGTTACGGAAACATACTGTGTCATACTACAGATTGACGCATGTCTCTGGGCAAACACTACTGTGTCCTCCAGATTTCTGCCAGCCTACAAGAGATTTGCAGAAGGGCGCAAGGTGATAAAGGGAATTGATAATGGGTCAGCTGTTTCATTGGGATTGGAGATGACTTTGTGAGCATTCACTCGAGACTGTGTGTGTTTTCAACAACATTTACACAATACACCTCTCTCCCAGCAAGAAGCTGTCTGAGGATAGAAGGTGTCTGGGGCTGTCTGTATGATTCTCCCTGGATATTTGTGTTACTTTGCTCAAGGGACAATTGATACATTTGATTGATGTGTGTAGAGATGATCTAGCCCGCTCTGCTGTCCTACTGACAAAAAAAATTAAGATGAACAATTATTCAAATTTATAGCAGTTCTCATGTATGAATTTCAAGCTATTCCATCATCATTAGAGAGCTAATGTAAGAGGGAGATTGTCCACGTTGTATAAATGGAGACCTACATGAGATATGCTGGCCTGTTACACCAGCTAAGAACACAAGATTCTAGTAAGTCCTTACATCTGACTTCTGAAGAGAGGGTCAATGAAAGGAGACAGAGGAAGGCACTCCATGAGTAAGTGAGAGGTCTAAAGAATCTAAGAAGAAATAGGTGTGAGAACTTACTGAGGTAGTGAGAACAGTGAAATATATGGACTTGTATAGACGTGTGTTATTGTCAAATGTTGCTTTTGTGTTTGAACGAGACACGGCTTGAACACATGCGTTCAAACACCTACGCATCTGAGTAAGACCTGCTGGGTCTAAAGAAATGCAGCACAAATCAACACATAACAAATGCAGCCTTGGGACCTGTCACCCACACTACACTACTACTGACCTTTGTAGGCTTTAAAAACGTTCATCAAGCTGTGACACTCTTCAATGATCTTATCTTCTATTGTTCTCTTCCCCATTCCGAAATCTCGCAGTGTAGAGAGAGCGAATCGTCTCATGGCTTTCCAATTATTACCATTAGAGAATACAATACCTACAAAAAAAAGTTTAAATGGCACATACATTCCATCAATCTAAAGGGCAAATCCACCCAACAGGTAGGCTTGCTTAAAGCCCAACTGAAGCTTTGTTTAAGCATTAGTAAGTGTAGATGTCTCTTTTTTTTCTGTTCAATAGTTTTTATTGTTGTAAGTAAACAGAGATTTGCACAAACAAAATTTTGGTGTAAAAAATGGTTGTACAGTAACATGGAGTAAAAAAACTGATCAAATACAGGTAGTGCAATTGATGATAATTACAATTCTTGGGAAAAAAGAATTAACAAAAAGGTTTACATTCGTATGATATAAATTGAATCTTGAGGAATGTCAAGCATACAGTCCTAAGATATTAAAGTGTGAATAAGGAAAAAGAGACATTGAAACAGGAGAGAAGAGTGAAAGAAAAGAAGGGAGGGAATAAGTGAGAGAAAATACCCTGGGTAGCATGGTTGAGGATCATATTCATAAGAAGGACTATAATCAGATTATAGGGATAATAGTTGGCAGTCAAAATGGGGGGATAGGCATCGCGAAATCCATTGATCCCAAATTTGATGGAATTTAACCATAGAGCCAGAGAGTTTAGCTGAACGTTTTTCATTAGATAGGGTGGAATGAACTCGAGATTTAACTTCATGGAAATTTAGGGATGGTGGTTTCCAGGATTCTGTGATAACTGATTTGGCAGCGGTTAGGATATGAGTCATTAAGGTGAATTGGCAATTAACTCAGACCGGGTGGTTTTAAATTTAGTAGGACTACACTGGGGGGGGGGGGGGGGAGGAAGATGGGGTGTGTAAAAGAGAATGGAGGAGTCTAAAGACTTTGCGCCAAAAATTTTGGGCTATTGGAAAGGACTACCAGGTGTGATGTACAGTGCTAAGGTCGGGACATCCTCGAAAAGCATAGTGGGGATTGAGCTGAGGACACGGCCGCAAGTCTAGTGGGAACCAAGTGCCAGCGGAATCAGGGCCGGATTTACTCCACCTGCCGCCCCAAGGCCAGGTTCCACAATACGCCCCCCCCGTGCCGCCAACCCCCCCCCATCAATTGAGAA